ATTGGTTCAAAGGTGCAATTAAAAGTTGAATTTGATCCGAGATAATCAAGAATCAGGTTTTGCAGATGGGGAAACAGGATTTCTATTCATTATCATGAGGATTTCGGGTAGCAAAATATATCAGGTGCAACTGTAAAAGTAGCTGAAATGCTTTTCATTATCGCATGCACAATCCTAGGCTTGAGTTGAGTTACCCAAAAACCAGTAAAATAGCTCCGGTGCCTCATAATAAATTCTTTTGCAGAGTGTAATTTCATCCAGTTCTCATGAATGGTTTCAAACAATAACAATATATATCAACCTAAACAGCAAACAAATCAAGGATAGTCTGAAAGAAACCTGGATTTGGTTATTAGTGATTAATGTCTCGAGCTCTTTCTCAAGACCAGCAACACTTGTTTTAAAAGCATTAGCCATCATATGGAGATCAACGGATACAAATGGGAGCGTGTATTGGATGAGAGCCTTGTGGCGTATTTGATCATAAAGCGTCTCAACATGGTCATGTAAATGAATGTCAAGCAATAAGTTAGCTTTAAGATTCCCAAGGTAGTCCAGACATGATGCATAATGGCTGCAAGAAAATAGAATGATTATATCATTGATAAATAGAAAATAGCTATCTTCCAGTCAAACTACTAGCTCATTGGAGGAGCATCATAGCAAGCAAGTTAATCCCAAGATCCAATTAATAAAACATATGAGGTATTCAAAACTCGTTCCGCTTAAAACCAACAAAAAAAAAATTGGAAAACGACTAAACAAAAACCAACAAAAAAAAAATTATTAACAAGAAAGCCATATAATATGTTGAGTTAAAAGAATTAAATAATTGGAAAAATATATTATCCTAGTCCTATCACTGCATTTATGCACGTGCATAAGACATGTCTGAGCCAATTTAAAATTTCTACTGATGAAAAGAAAGTAACTAAGGGTAGAGTAGAAGTTTGAAGAAGCCTAAGCAGATTAGTGACTACTGCTTATCAGAATGTATAGCACAAACCTTGAGTAGAAATCATTAATCAGCTCTCGGACTACAGGAACCAACTCTAAGAAATTACGAAAGTTGACGTTGTCTATAACTTTATTCTGCCAGATTAACACAATTAGTCAGAACAGCAAATCACTTGCTTTAAATTCCATATGAAACACGATTAGCAAGAAAAAGGGAAAAAAATGTGCCTTTAGCTCTGTACGGTCAAAAGTTGCAAGCGCACAAAGACCACCATATGTCGCAACATCCTGCGGGGCAATCACTTCATTAAAGTGATTTACTAATTCAGGACCTGTCTCCAGAAACTGCAAATATAACAGAAAGTTGATGGTAAGCGATCATAGCTATAACAACAGAAAGAAAAAGGCCCTCAACACCACAATAAACGTTAATCTAGACATTTAGCACAACTCAAATGCAAAATATAGATTACATGGGGCCATATAATAAAGAAAGCCCATGATGGTCAAGCTCTTCTAAACTATGGAACTTCATTATACAAACATGCACATACACAACTCTTATAAGAAAATCCTATTCAAACAATAAAAACATAATCATATGCATTCCCTGTATTGGAACTTGGAAGAAAGTTTTAAGACAATCAGTACAATTAAACTGAACTACTTGATCATAATGTCCACAAGAAAACAAACCTTGCGAGCAGCAAGTTTGTACTTCTTTGCTTCCAAGTGAGCCAATCCTGCAGCACATCGAAGCTTTGCACCAGTAATTGCATCTAGAGCCTCTGGGGTCTGTTCTGCTTTGCTAACGTAACTCGTGACATGTGTAAATTGGCCCATCTCTATGCTGACAAGAATTGCGCTCATGCACATATGAATGATATGCTTTGATGTAGTACAATAATCGCGTGTACGAACATAACTTTTAAATGCATCGCCAAGTTGACCGTGAGCATAGTAAAAATCTCCAAAATCATTGTATCCCATCCTTATGCTTTCTTTTATCAAATTAGTCTGCAAAATATCCCAAAGCTAATAAATTGAATATCTAAAACCAGGATTACTAAGCGGTTGTCGCAACTTCACAGAAAAGGTAAAAAAAATAAAATAAAATAAGTAGCTACTAATAGAAAACAACATCCAAAATCCCCAACGAATTATTTTCACTTTTTAGGAGGTAGCTAGAATTCGAGCACTGCCATGAAACTGCTGTTATAAACCCCTGTCATTGTGGCTACATGCGTCACCAATTAAAACCCTCACTGATATAATGAACGCATCGATAAATCAATGGCACCGAATTGAAAGGTCGAAACCCGGAAAAGTATTATGAAAACCACAACAAAACTCCCCTAAAGAAGGTGCGAGAGTATAATCAAACATAATGTACCCTATACGCGTTGAGTTCATTCTCGAGCTTCTCCTTCCTCTGTTCAGCCCTCCTCTCGACCATCTCACACCAAGCGGCATCCATCCCATAGTTCGGCCCCAACCTACCATCGATCTTGGGCACGACTTCCCTGAACAACAGAGTGTTCTCGCCCTTCTTAATCTCGTCGTAAGCCATCCGAAGCGCCTCGAGCTGCATCGACTGGTTGGTCTCGGCACCGCAGTGGTCGGCGATGAAGATAAGGCGAGTGATCTTGGTCCGGCCCGAATAGAGACTCGCATACGCTTCAATGTCGAGCTGCTCCCCGGTAATAATGGGTCTATTGAGCTTGCCGTCGTCGGCGCCGGTGCCGTTGGCGTAGATCTCGTCTTCGACCATTGTAGCGCTCCCGGAGGGCTCGTCGTCGGCTTGCATAGCGACGGGGAGATCGAAATCGGTGAAATTCAGGAGAGGGAGAGGGATTTGGGGATGAGAATTAGGGTTTACTGAGAGGGAAGAAACTGAGTACCGTACTTCTTCAGGAAGTGTTTGATGTTTGTGTGTGAGAGTTTCTCGCTTATGAAATAGTAATTTCTACTCTCCTGATAGAGCCTTCGGAGTGGGCAGCGACGGGGAGATCGGATGCCACGTGCGATTCCAGAACTCTCACGTGTTCCGCAACGGCGTCGTTTCTTCCTACCTCATTTCTCTCGTCTTTCATATTTTGAAGTTTTTGTTAAATTATTAATTATTAATTTCGTCAATTTCATAAATTATGTAATATGTATATTCAGTCGATGTTCTTTTTTAGTACAACATGTAGAAATAGAGATCAAACTCACAGCCTCTTGATTTGATTTGAGATATATAATAATTACCGCTGAGTTATGTTCGATTTTATTATATTTAGTCGATGTTGCAGTATGCATTCGAGTTTCTATAGTTGTATTTATTTAGTCCGTTCATTTCTTAATGTTATATTTATTTAGTTTATGTATTTTAAAATTTTGCCTACTGTTTCATAAACTTTTAATTGTATGTTCAATGAGTATATTTTTTCTTTTGGCTTATTTAATGTTTTAACATATTGGTGGTATATTATTTAAATATCGTGATACGTGTGAAATTAGATGCATTCTTTAAATGACAAGTGTATTAAGTAAACATTTGAGTTACGTCGAACTATCAAATACTAAATAAAAAATTAAAATAATGTACTATAAATTGTGACTGTGTTTGACATGTCTTTTAAATGATGCATATAGATACGGAGTAAAAAGTATTGTTTTCGAAAATATAAACTTTTTTAATAATGTATAGTAAAAAAAAAGTTTTAAAATCTATAGATAAAGATAGAAAAATACTTAAATGTGCTTTTCGATTAGACATTTTACTAGTTTTATTATTAAAAAGCGTTCATCTACTAACTACTTCACTAAGGAATTTTTTTTTTCTTTTTTCTTTTTTCTTTTTTCGGACATCTGCAACTATAAAACAACGCTTGAGTTATAATATTAAAATAAAACTATTGTGGCTTCCGTACTTTAAAAAAAAAAAAAAGCATTTCTTTTGTTTGCTTTTATGATTTTAGCGTTTGATATTGATATACTAATTGAGTCAGTAAACTCACGTGGTATTGAACAATGATCCTGCTCGTTGATATACACATTCAAGTGTGTTATTAAGTAGAATATGATGTTGGATTATAGACGAGGTGACATATTAGCACGAGATTGGTGTGAATACCAATCAAAACTGATACATGCACTGATACCTGCACTCATAACTCAGTACTTGACGTGGTGAACAACCAAATTAGTGTGATGTTTGAGTTATGACTGAAGTCAAATAGCATAAGTAACTAGATATGAGCTTGTACTTAGATAGTTTACATTTGAGAATTGTTAGATTTCGCATTTTGTAAGAGGATAGTATTGTGGTTCTATTAGACATACGTACCTGTCTAACAACGTAGCTTTCACTAGTTACTGTCGAGCAAAATATTCCCAACGTTAAAGTCCAGTTGAACTATACTATATTTGTTATGAGTCATTCATCTTCGTTTTTTGAGTAGATGATCTTAGACTCAAAATTGTCATACCATTTTTTGGGGGTAAAATCGAGTAGGACGCGTGTCCATATGTTAAGTCAGATTTCATAGCAAAATGACAATCACGACTGATAAAATTGAAATCATAATTTAATAGATAAAATATTTCATACCATTTGCATTATTTAGTCCACCTACCCTCTCAAACAAAACAAGAGAAGAAAAAGATGTAAAGTGAAATAAAGTAAAATGATAAAAGTAAAATTATTTTGAAAAAAATTAGACCGACAACTATTAGTCAAAAAGTTTAACCTACATATAGAAGAATCATGTCATGTATAGGCCGACCGTACCTTTTTATAATTAAAATAACGGTGTTATAAAAAAATTCATTAAAATAATGTTTAAGTATTTAGCTTATAAAATTTTAGAACGTCTGTAATCATCAGTATATTAATTTAACATTTTATATTTTTGAAATGTTTATTTTGGAGTTTTTAAAAGTGATAATTTTGATTTATTTGTTGAGAGTAAAATCGAGTAGRACGCATGTCCATCTCTATAGGATGCATGACCACAAATGATTTGCAATGTCAGGGATTCGCGTTCCTATCTTCTCTAATACGAGTAGTTCAAATTGACTACAGGCCTGTGGACAGTGGCGTCACTCTTCAATTATTGGGGACGTACGTCCTCGACAGTCGTCGTATCTCACGACATCCATACCATCCCAACCGTTATTCTTGATTGGTCACTATGTAAAGAAGGTCCCTCACCTTTACCAAGTAAGTGAAAAAGTGTTTGGCTCATTTGTTTTCAGGTTTGATCGTATCGATATTAAGTTTTCTGATTGCAGATTCATTTGTTTTCGGACGAAACCACTATAGGGGGAAGAGCGTGAGAGAAAATAAAAGATTGAAAACAGTAGTTAATAACAAAAAGAAAACAAAAGCGAAACGGCGCGCAATCTCGGTGTTCGTGAATATATATTCCGCCCCACATCTTCTTCCATCTGAACACCGACGCCACCAAAACCCCTTCTCTGATTTCTCTGTCTCTGCAAATTGCTGAGACTCTGCGAATCAATGGCCGGGCCGACTCAAGAATCCGTCGAAATCTTCATGAGAGTCACCGGTGCTTCCGAGTCTCTCGCCCTGCGCAAGCTGGAGGTCTACTCTTCGTCTTCTCTTTTTCTCGCATTCTATTTTCCTGTTAGAGCTCCAAATTTTACGATCTCGTGCTTTTTTCTTTTCCACCCATGTGTTTTCTGTCCCTCCGATTTGCTGCATTGTTCTGATTGAGCCACATTCCACTTGCATATTGACTCTGTTGTGTTTCGTGTGATTAATTACTTTGGGTTGTGAATCTGGGAATGTAATGTGGTGTAATTTGAAGGTTAATGGTTGATTTCGTTTCACCACCATTATGAGGAGCTAAATACTTTTTTTGTGCCTGACACAATAATGGTCAGAATCAGAATACAGAAAATCTTATGGAAGAATGTGGTTTAATGGCCCCGTTTTTTCATTAAAACTAAAGGGAAACAACTGCTCCAAGTTTCGTCCACAAACAAAGTTTACATAGTATTGTTCAGTTATCGCGTCAATCTTGTTTTACGTTTACCACGTGCTTACTTCGTTTGGGACCTGGTTTACTTCAGTTGATCCCTATTAAGATAACATGTTAATTTGTTATTGAGATCACATATTTTTATGTGGTTAACTTCATCATGGACCATGGCCACACAGGTCTGTGATTATTATTATTTTTTTGGCATTTAATGATTAGGAATGACCTGTTGATTATTTAATTCCATCTTTCCCTTTTCCTTTATACGGGTCATTTTGGGGGTCCTGCACCGGAGTTTAGACTATACCTATAAAGCATATAATTTACGGAGCTCAGAAAATTTACCTGCCAAGTTTCTTCACTTGAAATTTATTTTATCAATGTTAGCTATTCACCTAAAAGGCCTCGTACTAATGAAGATTTTTTTTCACTTATATACTATGATCTTCCCTTTCTCTAGCCAATGTGGGTTGGTCGTGCACCCATCAATCCTCTCATTGAACAAAGTACCACATAACCTATCCTTAAATAATCATCCATCTGCATTTTATTCTCGAGCACATCGTTTTTAACTAGGCCAACTCTTTTTTTTTTCCTTGGAGTACACCACCCATCCCATAGAGCCAAACCATCAATTACCATGACTATCTTTGAGGATTACATTGACAACTTCTTTATTCATCACTTGAAGATTATATTGACACAACTAAACTTGGGACATGACTCTAATACCATGTTAACACGGGACCATATATGGGAGAATAACTTATCTCATTCTATAAACTGAAGTTAAATATATACAGGCATGCGTAAAGGCCCTGAACTACTAAACGTCAAATCATAATAAAGAAAAATGACTAGTAAACCCCTATGTATACTATAGCAAGCTAAACATTTGTTTTTCTTCGTTTCACGTTGTTTTTCTAGTTATCTAACATTACACTTAATAGCAGGAATTTAGAGGCAATATCAATGCAGCTGTCAATTCTCATTTCAGTGAAGGGTACAATTTCAAGTATGTTGTTTTACATTATCGAAATTTAGCATTTCCCTGTCCCTTACCATATTCCTTGCTGCTCCCTTTTATTTTTTATCTTGCAATATGCTCGCTTTATCTGTTTAGTTGCATACCATGCTTACGCCTTACCTTTTTCTTTGTTCTGTGCCTTTCTGCTCAGTCAATATTCTGCACCACAGCATAACTACACCAATGTGAATAATGAGAGTCAAGGTGGACAGAATGGGCTTTGGCCACTTCTTAATGCCGCTAGAAGTTTCAGGCCATCATACCTTCTTGATCCCAATTATAGAAGACAATTTTTTGACCAGATGCGTAGATCTCGATCAATGGGTCCTCCATCTTCTATTTCACATTCACAACCAGGAGGTATGGGGCCAGTTCCTTTAGAATTCAATAGCTTTGCAGCTCAGCCATCTCACCAAGTAAGGAGGACTACCTTTGAAGATGGAAATAACACCTCATCATCTAGTTATCAACAAATAGGGAGTGATACTGAGGATGGAATGCTTAGAGCTGCTATTGAGGCTTCAAAACAGGTTTGAAGGATTTGATTAGTAGCTAACAGCCATTGCAGTACATATGTGCTAGTTATTGATTGTATTTTTTATATTTTTTCAGTAATACTTCTCTTCATAATTGAATTGCAGGATTCCGACCTTGAGCTCTTACAAAGACAACTTCAGCAAGAGGATGATGATCTTGCTGGTGCAGTTTCATTGTCGTTGAGGGTATTGTACTCACCATTCTTTATTTTGGTAGCATGATGCATGATGCTTGTCCAATGTCCATCCCTTAAACTTTGAATTCACTTCATCAGGTGGCTTTGGAAGAGAGAGCAATTCGTGAGCTGATGCCGGAGAATGAAGATGAAGTTTCAAGAATGGGAATAAGAGAATGTAGCAACAGTGGACCGAAGGTATTTGTTACTGATTGGTGCCCTTTGTGATTTTTACGTCACTCACCGACTGTGATGTCATTTCACAAAAATGATTTGCTCATCAAAATGTGCCCAGGAGTGCAAAGAAGGCACTAGTTTTGATCACCAGCACGAACAAGATGCATCTAAACAGGTACTAATGTATATCTTTGATTTTTTACACATACACATATGTGCATGATAGCATTCTGACTGATTGCTCGCTCACTCATGCACATACATTTATGACATTGCCCATGCACTCCTGTATCATGAGAATATTTTTAGGAGTCAGTACCTCCAACTTTCCTCTGGCATGGCCAGTGAGGGAAAAGTAATATTTTCTTCATTTTTATGGAAACTTAAATCACATATTTATTTCCCCCTGAATTTGAAGTGGGGTGGCATCACTTCGAAGGAGTTAAATGAATCGGTATTGCTTGAAGCTGCCATTTTTGGGGAAGTTTCTGAAGACTTTTCAGAGAACGCTCTGCCAGGAGCTCATTTGCAAAATGATCAAATTCACGGCTCGAGTAAGGGCAGTGATCTGCAACCTGTACCATGTTTCTCAATACCATCTTCATCAACACAGCAGTCACAATGGCAACAAAAGGTTTGATCTTGTTTCCCATGGTTTTAGCTTGCAATAATTTAAGCTATATGTACTATCATGTGGCATTTTATTTGGGATGACGAGTACTTTCATGCTGATCTTCTATTGAACTCTCGCTTTTAAAATATCAATAATTTTTTATAAGATCTATTTTTGGATTATGTTTTTAAATTTCCATGCTCCATCACTGAAGTTCATACTGCATGAGGTCTTGAACTTTGATTTGCAGAATGTTTATCCTATTTTTTTGATGCGGAAAATAACATTGAAATGTTAGTAGAAAGGAATTCAGTCATCTTGCCTGGTTGGATATGCTAAGTTATTCTGCGTTACATGTTCCACTTCTTAATGTGGATCAAATTTTGGTTTGACGTTGTTGATGTGGGCAGGGCAGTGCCTAATTTAGTTAAAAACAGCCTTCACACAATTTATCGCTGCTCTTAAATCCACAGATACTAGGGTATGTACCAAATAGAGTATGATAAAGCGTTCGTCATCATAGCATGTGCATCCCTCCTATTATAAATTTATGCCTTTCTGGACTTCTTGATGAACTACTCTTGTATTGAATATCATCCTCATGTGCTCGGATATCAAGATCATCTAAGCCGTTTTTGACAATATTTTTATAATGAATCAAGCTTCTCTATCTCTATTTAAAGATAAGCAAGTATTATATTATCATCCTTGAACCTTTGATTCTATCCATGGATGTACAGGAAACTGAAAGAAATTTAGCTGGTCAAGAAGCTCCATTTCCTCCAGAACCAGAAATAAATGATAAAGATACAGTGAGCCTCCTTCTTCGTATGCCAGATGGAAGTCGCCATGAGTGCCGCTTTCTCAAGTCCGACAAGCTTCAGGTAAAATTTTTCATGCATGCTCAGAAGGATCACAAGAATTTTGTCTTTTTCCTCCACTGACCTCGGTTTTCTCCTTTTGAAGCTTCTTTTCAACTTCATTTATGGTAAATTGGGTATGAAGCCCGGCACATATAGAGTGGTAAGATAATCCCTTGTACTTGTCTCCTCCCCTTGATTTCAAAATAGCTGCTAACTTGGTTGGTATAATACTGCAATAAGAATTTGGGGTTCATTCGGCATTTTATATTAGTAACGTTGACTGCAAAGTTACTGTATGTTTTAGATTTTAAACCATGCGCTCCTTGTATTTAAAAAACTACTGAATGCATTCACAATTACGTATTTATTGGCATGTTTCACATCTTATCACTTTTTCTTGACAAACAGGTTATGCCATATCCCAGGCGTGGTTTCGGAGTTGAAAGTGGTTCAATGATGTTGAGAGATCTCGGCCTCTCTAGCAAGCAAGAGGCCTTGTTCGTGGAGTTAATATAAGATTACATTTTCCACCAACCTTGTGGAGTCAACATCGCTGAAGTTGATGGAGAATCAAATAAATAGGTGGCCATGCAGACAGGTGCTCAAGCCAATTTTGTTTTATGTATATGAATAGTGGAAAAATATTGGCAACTTCATGGCGTCGGTGGCTAGAAGAAAAGAGAGAGATTTAAAAAATTGTTTGCACGGTCATGACTAATGGGCTGTTTGAGTATTTTCATATATGCTTCTTAATAGATGATCCATCTATTTAAATCAGTTGACTTGATTAATAATATTCTATGTCAGATCTGAAGTCCTGTAAAAAAATTTTTGGTCCACGTCCATGTTATCATTCCCACAAAAGACTTTCAACGTCTCAGACTTTTGCACTTGATATGGAAAATTGTGCCATCAAAGCTATGCTCAACACACTCGCTCTCTCTAAATTTGACTTCAAGATTGAATGTGAATGTGAAATGTGATATAGGCTTCGTTTGTAAGCATACTACAGACTGTTCTGTTTGTTAGTTAGTTATAAATATAACCTTCATGAGTTTGAAATGTTCTTTGGATGCTTCAACTTGTAATCTCAATAGCTATTCTCTTTAGAATAATTTGTCGACTCCGACAATTTCATTGACATTTAATCATCAGCTATATCAGGTAATATGATCCAACCTCGGAAAGTCCCTTCACAAAAAATGGGTAGTGAAACAAAAAAATGAATTTGTAATCAGAGTTATTAACCCCAAAGATTAGGAAAGGGACAAAAGAATGAAAAAGGAACAGAACTATGAATTGAAACATTGAGACTCTGCTAGCTCTTAGAAGATGTCTGCTTTTCTTGTTGATTTTCTTCTTCAGGTGCAGGTGAAGTCCAATACTGCTTGGTTGCCACTAATATCTTCTCTCTCTGATGGGGTCCTTTCTCATGGTCTGCAATTCTGCAATCCCATTGCATAGCCTCTGCAATGTTCTTGACCTCCACCAGCACATCCACATCGTCTCTGAGGATCACACTGCCCTGTGGCCGAAGAATCCTGTCCATTTCCAGCAGAATGTCCTCCATATCACATCTGCAACTCAGGTACAATTTCCTCGCAAGTTAATTTACGAACTTGAAACTCTGAAAGAATCTTGTAATATGCATGGTCTAATTTACCTATCCTTGTACAGACTGAAGATGGAGTCGCCATGAATGAAGTCGTACGTCCGAGGATAAGTTGACATCGCCTCGCACCTAAGATCGATTGCATTTATCAAGTTAATTTAGCTGCAGTGAGGGGATTTATATGGTGAGAGTGAGGGATGGAGAGCTCCTACTTACCAATTTTGGTATGTTCCAATGAGTCCCCGTTCATAGATGACTCCAAGGGTGTTAAAGTCAGCTTCGACGGGGACGGCATTCATAACCCACAGAGGGTAGTCGACAAGGGCAGCTGCAAAGCCACCCAAGAACGAGTTCATGTCGAGCAAATTACGGTACCTCCCTGGCTCAGCAAGCTGGTTGTCCAAAGCCTTGTAATGTGCTACTCTCTTTCTCCATAACTCTGTGTTTTCAGTGAAGTTTTGTGCTGTGATTTGTTTTAAACTCCCGCTGCTTATTCTTGGTGGAACAGAAGTCAGCCTCTCTGGCCAATTGGGCAGCTTCCCACCAGCTGTTTCTTTTATGTCAGACACTTCAGGAAGTGGGGTCAAACAAGGCTCCATTTTAGTGTACCTGCATTTGGACAAGTGAAAAAACAAGGTAAGTATAATAGAAAAGAAGATGGAATATGCTCTCTCTCTCTCTCTGTCCATAGTTTTATCCAATTGGGGAATTGATTTCTGCTGATTCTTGGCAACCAATCCAAGCTTAGAATAAAGACCCCCCACAGGTTTAATTTTTGAGGGCTTGAGCGTCTTTTTGGACATCGAACTTTTCGATCACTTTGGTTTTGGTATCATTGCCAAAGTATTCTGCAAGCCAAAGTGTTCACTTGCAGACCATGCCTTTTAGCTTGAAAATCTCTAGAGAAAAGAAACAAGATAAACAGTTTACGAACCATGCGGTATCGGGGTCCTGTCCCTGGCAGAAGTTGGGGAATTTGAAGACCTTGCGATTCTTTTTACAGTGAATGTGGTTGGATGGTTTCTGCCAAATGGCAATATCATCCTTCTGTTTCAACTTTTTCCAGCAAAGGCTTTTCGCCACAGCTTCGATTTTGGACTGCTCATCTTTGAGATCCTCGGTCGTTCTGTTCCAACCTTTCCAGTGGCTTTCCCAGTTTATCGGTGGCCCGGAGAGAATCCAATAGCCACCAGGCCGCAGAATTCTATCGACCTCGATCAGATACATCCCTTCTGCTCAACACAGAACAATATGGTTTGGAATGGAAATGAATGAATGAGAATACAGGCAATATTTATTGGAAGAAAGAAGTAGAAATACCAGATTGAGCCCAGGGGATGAGGCAGCGAGAGCAGTGAGCCATGTCAAAGGCTCGAGAAGGATATGGGAGTCTGATGGAAGCAAGAACTCCGATCAAAGCGGGAACCCCACGCTCGAGTGCAAATTGGACTTGTGCCTCATGAGTGTCTCTTGGTGCAAATGACATTGTAACTATTTTCCTTGACAATAAGTATGCCCCCCAACTTGCCACCTGACCAAAAGGAAAAGAAAAACCGATGATTGATATAGACTTCAAATTCTCCTTGTATCTTATAAAATTAAAAATTTCAGGTAAATATGACATTGCACACACATTTGGCTCCCTTGAACGAGCGAGAATATGTTATGGTAGTCAAACATGTCGGGGTGGGAGATTCAACTCACAAGAGTAAAAAAAAAAGAACTTGAATGTACTGTTAATGGAGAAACTGTTTCAAAAGATTAAAAAAAAAACTTGCGTTCAAATTAGCATTAAAAGAAAAGATTATTATCTTTAATTTTTGAGGAAAAAATTAAAAGAAGAGATTATTGACAGCATTATATCCATTTATATGATTTTATTCCCACTTATGTGAGAAAATGGTACACGTCAAATCATAAAAACTTAATAAACTTTTGGATAATTAGACACAAATTTTTTTTTGAGAACAGATAATAAGACACAATTATTAACCCATCACCAACAACTATATGAATAGATAAATAAATAATAATTAATATATATATATAGAGAGAGAGAGAACAGCTTCTGTACCCTGTTTGAAAAAAACTATGTTCCATTATTTTTCAGTTTTTTTCAACTTTAGTTGCTGAGGTCAACACATTTAATGCATTATTCAATTTTGTTTCAGATTACCATATATATTCCATAATACTGCCAATATTTCCTTCCAAATGCCAAAATATATATATATATATATATATATATATATATATATATAATATTATTAAATCACTAAAGTTAAAGTATATTTGCTACAATCACATGCATCCACATGTACATATAAGCACAATATTTCTAAAATTCATCCATACCATATATAACTAAAATTACGTAAGAACCCACAAAATAAAATAAAATAAAAATAAATAAATAAATAATGATGCTAGAAATATTTTCCCACATATATCAAATTCACGACGTGCGTGTCACCTATCTATTGGTCGGTGCCGCCTTTCACTCACCTAACGTTACGTCTATCAACACTAGTCAAAATAGTCACCAAAAGTTAATTTTTTTCAAAAGAGAAAAAAAGAAGCATTTAAAGAAAATTTTATATTATTTTTTTGCATTACTCTTTTTTTAAAAAACAATTCGTAAAATAATATAATTTCCTTATTGGCAGAGTCACCCGACTCAGCCCCCACTAATAACAAATAAGATATTTGAAATTTTCCATTATTAAATGGAAAATCCCATTGATCCTATTATGGGAATTATGAAAATATAAGGAAAGAAATCAATTTCCGGATATTTTCCTATCAAATATTTAATTCAATTCACTGAAAATGACCCGCTTTGACGGATGAGTCAAGCCGGCCGGTTTGACTGGCCAATGGAGCAATGTACGAGGACCACATTACGATTAAACCGGCCGGTTCGATAAGGAAATATTAGTTGAAAATTCGTTACGTACCCCACAGCCGGTGTCAACGGCGGTTCTAATGGAGCCGTCGGCGAGATTGATCAATTTTCCGATATCGTCGATGTAGGCGTCGGCGCCGCGGGGGAACATGGTGCCGCCGCCTGGGAATCTGAACCGGTCGTTCTCGAACCGGACCCAATTCTGATTCTTCTTCTCCACCGTCAATTCCTTGTGCGGCACGTTCGCGAACCAGGCGAAATCCCGGCTCTCCGGCCACCGGAACGGCACCGTGTACCCATTCGGCGGCGGAATCCGGCACTTCAGAATCTCGCCGGCGACCGGGCAGTGCCTTTCCCGGTAAATCAATCTGTCCCGGTCGAATTTGAGCGACCTTTCGCGGTCCTCGCAGGGGGTGTACTCGGAGAGCTTCGAGTCGCACGGCGGGAGTTGAGGTCGACGCGCCGTCGGGATCGCCGGGAGTTGGTCGGCCGTGTGATGGGCAGTGAAATCGAGGTCGACCACGGTGGTGACGACGGCGGCGGCGGCGGCGGCGGCCGTGGTGGTGCAGGCTTCGTAATTGACGCCGGAGAAGACGGCGCTTTTTCCGACGGAGTGTTGCCAGACGGCGACGAGGTAAAAGGCGGCGCAGAGGATGACGATTAAAGTGACTGTGTAAAGATTGAGTCTCCCGGTTTTGAAAGCGAACGACGCCATTGAAATTGGTTCAAGAAACAGAGGCTGTTTCTCTCTCTAAAATTTTGGGTTAATTTTCATCAAAGAGAGAGAGAGAGAGAGAGAGAAAGAAGAAGAAGGTTGAAGGAATTGGGTGGGATTTGGACTTTTTAAGGTGGGGGAGGTGACGACTGAGGGAGTCCAAAAAGATGAGAGAGAGAGGGCGGCGCCTGGGAAACACGCGCCGCCGTGTTATGGTGGAGAGAGAAATTCTTTTACAGAGAATTAATTTTGGTTTTCTCGATTCTCTCTATTTCTATTCCTAATTCCTTTGATGGGGAAGTTCTTGTTCTTGAAATTCGAGATTTTTACTTTTTTTTTTTCAGATAATTTCAAACAGTCGCGTTATTCGATTACGCCGTCTTAATTTTGTTTACTTTAATCTATTTTGTCTTTTTTTATTCCTCAATAAATGATTAGACTAAAAATATGTTCATTTTTCAATTAAAATATTATTTTATTATTTTATAACAAAATTTCGTAGGAAAATACCACGAGAAATCTATGAAGATCGAATTAAGTCTCAAGAAGAGAATCGATACCAATTACAGATTTCATGTTGGACCTGGTACTCATAATGAAAATTACGATCAAGGATTACTCCATCAACCATCATATACTTCACATATCATCATTCATGATTTTTTTTTTTAAAATACAAAAGTTCAGTAGTCTTCCTACGATTAGTGGATTGTGCAGTTATTGAAATATTTATTTTGTATTTCTACTTTTAGTTTTTGTCCAGCGTAGCATTAAGCTTTCAATATATTCGTTGTGCTTTCAATACTAATTTTAAAAATTGATTATTTTGACATTTTTATCACAATTTGAACATGACATTGTACTTAATATATTTTTTAGATGGTAGACATAATTTAAACCAATGAATTTCTACTGTGTATAGGATTCGTTTCAATTTTTCAAATGGAAATCAAAATAGTTATTTTTTTAAATGAACCTCTTAAAATTATAGAGTCTATAATGAACCAAAGTTAAAAGTATATAGAGATTTTTATGGATGAGAAAATCTCAATCCCCTTTATTCAAAACGAGAAGATCTTGTAGATTGAGATAACCAAATTTATTAGATGTATCAGTATTCGAATTCCACACAGGATTCAACTTCTATAAATTATAATTAGGGAAGTAAGTCAAACCCTACAAATCGCTACTCGTTGCTATGCTCACAACACCCTACACTTTACACTCGACGATGATTGTCTTTCGAGAAGGATGGTAAATCGAGAGTTATTCTTTTTCGGGATGGGATGGTTGAAGGTGATGAATTGTTAAATAAAAATTAAGCATGTTATTTATTCTATTATGATGTTCAAATTTGACGTAAATTAATTATTTCCTATGTTTTATACTTGAGAAAATTATTTGTTTGATGTCCAAACAAAAAACCTCCGGGGGCATGGGTAAGCTAATCAACATGGGTAAAAGCTAATCAACAGCTGGTCAAGGAACTCGAGTCAATGAAAAGCCAAATAGGATAAAAACTCATAGGAAGTACCATTGGCGATGTATCCGTATTCGAATTCCACAATCCTAGAGGATCAAGATTCAACTTCTATAAATAGGAAAGTAAGTCAATTTGAAGAGGGCAACAAATATGCTCACAACACCCTACTTTATTTGAGGGGGATGTTGTTGAGTTCTTACGCTTTCATGTCTACAACTCAGTTCATCCGATTATTACAGGGATGAACCTAATCCAGAATATGAACCATAAAAGAAAATACCGATTAAACCGATCATTGTAATACCAGTTACGGTACCTATTATCAAAAGAGGTAGAGACAGAAACAATCATAGATAATTATGAGATGATATCCTTCCGAATGAGATAAAAGATAATTCGTACTATTATTTAGTATTTTCTTTTATTTAATTGAAGAAATAATTGGAAAATAAAACAGCAAGGAGCCTTGCCACACATGCTTGGTCTTGTCGATCCCTTTTTGACGGAATTCCAGACTAAATTTATGCATCAACAGATATTAAAATGAACATTTTAAAAGTAGAGAACAAATATAAACCAACATTAAAAGTATAATGATTAAAATATTATTTTAATTTTTACCCACCTAAATAATTTATTTCTGATTCTTAAACGAATCACTGCAAAAAAAAAAAAAAAAGTGCAATTTTGAAACTGATTATTTAACAATTTTTTTGTTTGTTAATAGATAAATATCTATTTTAATATCGAATTTATTAATTTTTTTTCAAGAAACAACTCTTAATTTGGAAACAAGTCTTCTTAAGATAAAGCCAAATTACATTATGGAATGTTGAGCTAATATAGAGTAACCCATAACATTGTGTACAAAATTAGTATATGATAATATGGAAAGTTGAGCTAATATAGATCAATCCATAACATTGTGTATAAAATTATATATAATACTTTAATTTTTAGATATATATGTAAATTTTAGGTCATTATAATTATTTTCCTTTTCAAGTTTAAATAATATGGCCTTTTCAAAAAAAAAAAACGTTTAATATATATATATATATATAAACAATATGGTGGGATGGAAATTCAAACTTTAATCTTGTGGAGTTTTTTCTCTCTAATATCGTGAACTGATTGAGTTAGTTAAGTGACAATATTTCGAACATTGTGACTAGTTATTTTGGTTAGTTGTCAAAATGTATCCCGACACTTAATTAGATAAAGTTTAGACTTAAAAGATAAAGGATCGAGAACAACTTTAACAACAAGATTGAGTGGACTAAAATACTAGTACTAAAACCATTCATCAAAATGCGTAGTTCATTAAATTAATTGTCGTCTAGAAGTGGCAACAGGAAATAGGAAAAAAAAACATTATTATTATTAAATTTAGGTTAAAATATTATTTTGGTACATGTACTTTCAACTTTGGTTAATTTTAGTCCAGTACTTTTAAAATGTTTATTTCAATCTCTATATATTTTATCTTTCAAAAGTAAAAATTTTGGTCTCTTAATTTGTTTATTCTCATTTTTTCTATCACGATTTCAACACGATACTATATTTAATATATTTATTGAAATGTAATCACGGGTTTATATTAAAGAGATTATGTTATATGTAAAATTTATATTAAAATTTTGTAAATAAAGACAAAAAAAAATTATTAATTTTTTAAAATATAAAGATCAAAACAAATATTTTAGAAAAATTCAGAAACTAAATAGAATCAAAATTGAAATTACAGATATCAATAAATCAAACCGGCAATTACATTGACCAAAAACCTTAAATTTAAATTAAAAAATATATATATATAAGGGAAAAAAAATGGTTGCATGAGGCTGAGAGTTACGTTGATTTTGATGGAGGTGGAGCACGTGGGGTAGCGATACGGTGCGGACCCGCTCACACCGGAAATTGGGTCCGTGTGGGCCCCACGTAGATCGAACCGGTCCAATACGGTCATGATATTTTTGCTTCGCTATGTGATATGTT